CTTGTTCAGAAACACGTTGTATCCTTCGAGGAGGTGGCTGTGTATTTCTCTGAGGAGGAGTGGTCACAGCTGAGCCCTGACCAAAAAGAGCTGCATTGGGAAGTCATGGTGGAAAATCATAGGAACGTGGTCTCTCTGGGTAAGAGTTTGCTATTCCTAACTCTAGCGTTGAGAGTAAATAGAAGTATTTCTATTTACTCAGGTTTTTTCTCTGCGGTTACGTGGTTTTGGCAAGAGAAAATGAATAGCAAAAAGAAGGCAGTTTGGATAGAAAAAAAGAGGATTCGTTTCAAAATTATTTTAGCTCTCACAGATCTCTGCTGAAATTAACTGACTAGTAAATATTAGGCTATCTCCCAATCCCCTTCCTGGATGTTTCCTCTGATAAAGTGAGAGCTATGTCTGGATGAGATTTGAATACGTATGTATAATTGTAGAGAAAGAGATATTTTCTAGATATTTGCAATGCTTCTATAGTTGATTAGTATAGAAATTGTAATTTGTATACCATGTCACTGGAAGCATGGAAATGTGCAATGTATTGGAAGTTAATAAAAATTAAGAATTAAGATTTCCTACAGTTTGATGTTTTTCACCAGCGATTATTCTTTTCCTTTGAAGGTAATAATGGGCAGGAGAATCAAGATTCCTTTGAACTGCTCCAAGTGATCAGTGCTGAAGGTGGAATGGAGAAGTCTGCAATTCAAAAGGAAGTAGAAAAACATGAAGGAAACCCGTTAATTAACTGGAATTGGGAAACCTCATCTTTTATTGATGCTTCACTGCAAGACTTTCATAAAAAGATCCACAAAGGAAAACAAAAACGCATGGAATGTGGAAAGACCTTTGCTCGCAGGAGCCAACTTAATAAACATAATAGGAGCCATGCGGAGGAGAAGCCACATAATTGCAAGGACCATGGAAACTGGTTCAGAACAATATGTTCCCTTGATCTCCATCAAATGATCCATACAAGGCAGAAGGTATTCAAATGTGTGCAATGTGGAAAGGGCTTTCAGAGGAACTGTGATCTTACAATCCATAAAAGGATCCACACAGGGGAGAAGCCCTATAAATGCATGGAGTGTGGAAAGACCTTTTCTCAGACTGGTGGTCTTATTTACCACAAAAGAATCCACACAGGGGAGAAGCCATATAAATGCATGGAGTGTGGGAAATCCTTTGCTAAGAGGGATAAACTTGTAATCCATAAAAGGACCCACACAGGGGAAAAGCCATATAAATGTCCAGAGTGTGGAAAGGACTTTGCTCGTAGCAGTAATCTTAATTCCCATAAAAAGGTCCATACAGCGAAAAAGCCATATAGTTGCAAGGAATGTGGAAAGTGGCTGAAAACAAAATGTTCCCTTATACGCCATGAAATGATCCACACAAGGCAGAAGGGATTTATATGTGTGCAATGTGGAAAGGGCTTTCGGAGGAATTATGATCTTACAGTCCATAAAAGGATGCACACAGGGGAGAAGCCCCATAAATGCATGGAGTGTGGAAAGACCTTTTCTCGGACTAGTAGTCTTATTTACCACAAAAGAATCCACACAGGGGAGAAGCCCTATAAATGCATGGAGTGTGGAAAGAGCTTCATTCGGAGTGTTTGTCTTACTTCTCATAAAAGGATCCACACAGGGGAGAAGCCATATAAATGTGCAGAGTGTGGAAAGACCTTTGCTCACACTAATAGTCTTATTTCTCATAAAAAGATCCACACAGGGGAGAAGCCCTATAAATGCATGGAGTGTGGAAAGAGCTTCAGTCGGAGTGATTGTCTTACTTCTCATAAAAGGATCCACACAGGGGAGAAACCATATAAATGCATGGAGTGTGGAAAGGCCTTTACTCAAAAAGGTAATCTTATTTCCCACAAGATGATACATACAGGGAAGAGGCCATATAAATGCATGGAGTGTGGAAAGAGCTTCAGTCGGAGTGATTGTCTTACTTCTCACAAAAGGATCCACACAGGGGAGAAGCCCTATAAATGCATGGAGTGTGGAAAGAGCTTCAGTCGGAGTGATTGTCTTACTTCTCACAAAAGGATCCACACAGGGGAGAAGCCCTATAAATGCTTGGTGTGTGGAAAGAGCTTCAGTCGGAGGGATTGTCTTACTTCTCACAAAAGGATCCACACAGGGGAGAAGCCCTATAAATGCTTGGTGTGTGGAAAGAGCTTCAGTCG